GTGTGTGTGTGTGTGTGTGTGTGTGTGTGTGTGTGTCAATGCTGTGCAGTAAACTTTATTATACTTATAGTTTTATGTCTACAAAAGTATTGCCTCAAGGATAAATTGTGTTTTCCTTTAAATTATCACCATCACTTTACAATTCATATTTAAAGAAAACATGTCAGTTGCCCAAAATTGGTGAACTGTTGTAATAAAGAGCAAATATGCTACATTCTAAGGTTTTTTATGTCTAAATGGAAATGTTGCGGAAACAGACAACAGCAAAATAGAAGTGAATAAGACGTTGAGCAATCAWTCAGAGCAACCACGAGTAATTTAAGATTAGCTTGAGCTGATGATCGGTCGGCTGACTGACAGAGAGGCAGCTGACTGACGGTCTGAGTGACTGGTGTCCAGACRAAGCTACCAGATTTCTTTGCATATTAATGATGACATTGTGCAGGCACAGAGGTGTAGTAAAAGTGAGAGCAGAGAAATGAATAAAAGTCAGTTTTATGAGTTTAAGGAGAGAAAAAAATTGCAGTTGGTGAGCAGAAACCTGCGCACAGCTAAAAGCTTGAGTTCCTGTCCAATTTGCTCCAAATAAGACTCATTCAGGAAATGACAATAGCAATTTATAGTACTTAATACAACTAGATCTTGGTAAAACGAATACAGTATATGGCTTATTTTCCTTAGTGAAACTAAAATAATGTACTGAAATTCCATATTCACACTCTTTACAATTTTTTTCAGGGTTTGCTTTAAAATTATTGAAGTAGGTAAGTGTTTTCAGGAGAAATTCTTCCATCTCCTTGTTTAAAAATGTTTTTTTTTCCTCAAGGGCCTTCAAAGGACACAAAAAAAGCTTTACTAGATTTGCAGAGTAGCCAGTAGGGGGGAGTGCTGGTCTCTACTAGATATTAATATACASACATATTAATGTGGCACCCAACCCCAGCAAAACAATCAGTTTTAAGCCTAATAAAAAAAAGAAAAAACTTTCAATTAGTTTTTACCCAGCAAACACTAAAACCTTTTCAATTTTATGCCATTCACATGTTTTTTTATATTAGTAATTGAGGCAAATGCACATCCTGAGCTCAAACCTACAGGTTACAGGTCTGCAGCACTGAATCATAACTTTATTGTCAAATATACAACACAGTTGATAAATAAAGATCCTTTTCCTTTTCATTATAATAAAAAAGACATGACAACGAAAACATTCAAAGTGATCACTTTTGAATCTCAACTAACAGAAGTTTTTATTTTCCTGGAAATCACATCATTTAAAAACTACTTGCTAACAACACATATCCTGACATATTTGTGGGAAGATGTTGCAGACTATGTTAGCCAAGAAGCTAAGCTATGCTAAGCAAACAGCAACCGGGCTTAGAGCGAGTGTCTGCACTGGCTGCTCAGAAGCAGTAGGACGTCAGCTCAAGGATGTTGCAGGCCCTGTGACAGCAGCGCTCCAACACTCCCATCTGCTCCCCAAAGTCTGTGCCCACATTTCCACCCACAGCTGATGCTGCATTACCTGCATTTGGATGGACAGTACAAAATAGGAAAGACAATTAAAGCTAAATGTCATCCAGCTGAGTTACAGAATGAAGAGTCAAACAGTGAAACAGCTCAAAATGCATTTTGCATAGTAATTTTACCTTGCATAGGGCTGTCAACAGTACGGGGTCTGTAGAAAAAGCCTCGTTCTCCACACACAAGATAAAGAGCATCAACCAGATGAGAACCACACAGATACTGTAAGGCAGTGGCTTGTGAGCCTGGGCATGACATGACCAGTAAGATCATGAGAGTAGCAGTTTGGATCCACACCTTTGCCATAGTGGAGAAGGCCTAGGCACAAAATGAATTCATCAAAAACAAGAAAAGAAAGAAAGAAAGAAAAAAATAAACAAKTGGATCAACTGTAATGCTCAGACACAAAACAAGAGATGGACCTGAGATGATATGGATGTACAGAAAGAAGCAGACTTACTGAGAAAGAACACAACTCATTTTATAGGAAAATAAGGAAAATAGAGCCCCTCACCTGCACAGTAAGTAGAGATGGAGATGAGAGTGTAGATGTAGTGGAGCAGTATTACAAGGCAGCTGGTGGGACAGACAGAAGGAAACATCTGCATTAATACCCCCAGGACCAGCTTGACACACCTGCCATGTATGTGTGCAAACAGATGAGTAGATGTTGAAGTTACCAGTCAGCAAATGATGCATGGCAGGTTAGTTATGGATGACTGATTTACTGGATGCACTTCACAGCACTTAGTTAAAACAAACTGAGCTAATGGACTGACATGATCTGATTACCTTGCACTGACAAATACTGATCACCATCCTTCTGAAACAACAACCTATTCAAAATTATGTGTTCATAAATTGTTTGGTAGATTWATTCTTTGTTGTAATAAAGTTTCTTGACAATACATCTTATAGCACCTGATTGGCAGCACCTGGGAGTAACCAGAGCTCAAAACAAGTATCAGCAGCAACAGTTTGAATAAGTTGTTTGGCAGAAAGGGTTTGGCAACTTTTTCATGTGTGCAACCCACATACTCAGCTCAACAGCTCATCTCACAAATGCATGTTCCTTACAAATGTGGCACCATTTAAAAGAAAAACAGGCTTTCCAACAGTTTAAGATTCATAMCCAAGACATATTGTTACAACAAAGAAAACAATATATTCCTAACATACATTTCCTTACATTTTGTGCTATATATACAGTATATGAAATGAGAGAGACAGAGATTATTTTGAAATATACCATTTAGTAGGAAACAGTTACTGTATTTTTTCTTTTATCTCAATTACTGAATCAAAACAAGTACAATTTTAAAATTTGACCAGACAATATCTATTCCCACTCTCTAAAGCTGACTGCATTAGCGACAGTACTGTAATGTGTCTTTTAATACATTTTATCAAACTGTTGACTTTAAGCTCCGTCAATAAATACAATATATGTAATATGAAAGTGGAGTGCTTTCCATATGATGTGTGGCGTGACTTGTTCCAAGTGACAGTTAGACACACACACCCCACTGTGACAAATAAAGACATAGAATATTGGTTTTAAAATTAATATTCAGTTAAAGAACTGATTTCTTTGCTAATCTTGGATGAATTAAGGCTTCTACACCTAAAAAAACATCAATAGCAAGGAAGAGCAAATAGATTAAATTACAACTGAAAATTGGATCCTGATCAGCTGAAAGAAATGCATAATTTCTGATTTAATCATATATCTATGATAAATTATGATTAGAATTTCACTACTAGTACCTGCAGAGGGGATAATTATATCTGCCCAAGACCTTGAAATGTTCCATTAATATGGATATAACATTTCAGGGTAGTCTCAGTCAGTGAACCATCATGCAAGTTGATAGTAAATAGCTGGTAGCTTCAAGCTCTTGGTTGGACATCATTTTTATAATACATTCAGGGGAAAAAATCCTTGTGGGGCGGCTGTGGCAGAGTGGTTGAGGAGTCGTCCTGGAACTGGAATGTTACCGGTTCGATCACCCGTCCATCTGTCTCAGTTGTTGTGTCCTTGGGCAAGACACTTTATCCCAGTGCCTCTGATGTGTGTCCACTCAGTGTATGAATGTGATTGGCACTGATTAGTCTCCATAGTTGATTGTATATATCAGCTTTGTAGGAGATCTGGTAGAGTGCTGTGTGAATGGGTAAATGAGGGCACAGATTGTAGTGTGAAGCACTTTGACTATCCTGTTTGTGTAGAAAGGCACAATACAAGTCCAGTCTTTTTACCATCTTGTCAGAATGTGTTATTGTTCAACTTTCAGCATAATTGCTTACATAATAATTCATTGTCTGTCAAAGCAGAACATAAATTGGCACACAGTTTTTTTATTTGCACTTTTTAAGCAAAATTTGAAAATTCTTTGTTCAAAATTTCCTTCAGTTTATTTGAACAGAAACATAAAAGTAAAGGATGCAAATCAAGTAAAAATTTCCTTTTTATTTGCACCCAAAAATACTCTTAAAGGTAGGGTATTTTGCAAAATGAACATTTTTGAGCTTTTTATCAAAACACCATTTTAAAAACACACCCAAGAGTGCTGCTTTGACTCATTCATGCATGTTTGAGAAATCCTTGAATCATGTAGAGCTGCCTGAATGCTTGCTGGTACAAAGCCCTGCCTTTGTGTACCAAAACATTTAAATCCTAAAAAAAACAAAAAAACACTCTGCTTTAGTGGTAGTGAGGTACAAAAATAGCCATAGGTTTGACTGTGGCTGTTTCTAATATGTGTGATCCACACTGAATAAATAAATGTAGAATAAATTATCTTCTGTTTTTAAGAGCATCTGTGCATAAAGTCTGTGATTCTAATGTCTCAGTTCCATACACAGAAACAAGACCCATAAAACATAAAGCAAACCATTATAAGTGATTTTTCTTTTTCTGCCACTGCCATCAATTTAACTTCTCTAATATGCCTGAAAAACTCAGGCCTGCTTTTTGTCTCTCTGCGTGTTCACTCTGATAAATATAAGAATCATGACTGTAAAACATGCAGTCGCATATATATATATATATATATATATATATATATATATATATATATATATATATATATATATATATATATATACTGCTCACCATATCATGTTTGTATCATCATATAAAGTGATAGTTATTTTTTAGATTGGGGTTCAGAGGGTCCATGCTGCTTCGTGGAAAAATAAATATGTGGCAATGCTGTGAATCTGAACTGTTAGAGCCCTTATGTTTGCTTCAATAGATTTACAAAAGGATGGAACACAAATAAAATGGGGTAATGTTGAGTGTGGCAGTCTTTTACTGTGTGCGTATATTAATCTGTATAATGATATGCAGACCAGCTGCTCCCAACAAATTGTAACCTTTATGTCAACTACGTTTTTATTTTCAAAATAAAAATCAAATTTATTTCAGGGAGAGTAAATTTTCAGCATGAGTGCTATCTATCGATGCTTTCAGATATCGGTACTTAGACTTAGCTGTGTCTTTTTTAAAGGCTTCAAATGTGGCAACTGAGAAAGATGTCTAAAGGAACTAAATTAGTATGTTTTAATGATCCTTAGCCATCACAATTCAGGCTTTCAGAAGTTGTTTAGATGTGTTTCTTTGGACTTCAGTAGCTTTTTCTATCTTTAGATAATTACTCATCTTAAAATGATGACAGTGTTTTCTTTAAAAGCCACTTAACGCCGATCTATAAATCAATCAACCATAAAAAGTAAATGCAGGAAAAAAGTCAAGAGCTCTCAAGTGTTGTGTCTGTAGCAGACAACTATCACAAAAAACACTTTTAAAATTGTATCTTAAGGCATTTTGTTGCTAGTGACACTTCGCAAAGACACAATTTGTTCCCATAACACAGCCTGACAAGCTTAAAATGGTATTTTTACACTAACAAGATTTCCAAGATGCTATTTGCTGAAAACTTGACATATCTTAGTATGATGTGCAGTGTCCTTGAGTAAAACGGACAGGTGGAGGACAAAAGAAGAAGTGGCAGGTCTAAATAATTATCTACAGCAGATGTGCTATATCTGAAAGTTGTGGCCTTAGAGATTTGGAAAAAAAATCTATATAACTGGCAAAAACATTGGAGTTAAAAAAAGTCATTCTTTACTTGTTCCTTTATGTAACTCTGAAAATGAAAACTAAGTATTTCACTAGTTGTCTGTTTGTCTTTATATGTCCCTGCGATCTGTCCAAGGTGACTGCTGGAGACGGACACCAGCCACCCCCATGAACCTGGAAGGAAGACACAGATAAAGATGATTGATTGATGGATGGATGGATGGATGGATGGATGGATGGATGGATGGATGGATGGTTGGTTGAGGCAGGTGTGAGAGTGCATAAGGAATAACACTTAACATTTAAAATTGCAAAAGATGCACAACATTAAGTTTTAAAATATTTTGCAACAATTAAAGATAAAGCTGTCCAGCAAGGACAACATGAATTAAAATGACATCTTTCATTTGCAGCAATTACCCTACACTCAGTTTAGCTTATCAAAGTTGACACTGAAAACTGATGTGTAAGTGTAATGTGTAAAGTGTAATGTTAGAAATTTTAACGACTCACTAATTTTTTTGTCAAAAAATATAAAATGAAAGCAATTCTGAACAATTCACATTAACAATTATATTGTGTGCTGGGGCTTTGCCAACAAAGGTGAATGGTGAGTTGTGGCTTGCTCCTTTTTTATGACAGTTTACAATTTTGTTTCTTTAGGATGCATTAATGTATCAATTAATTAATTATCAATGTAATAATGTCTGACTAAAACTGACAAAATTGAAAAGGAGAAATAAGTACCAATAAATAAATAAATACAC